GGATCCACTCCCAAGCTCACTCACGTAGTTCACAGAATTATCCCGAGTCACCGAACTCAGATGAGACCTTTGGCTTCTTGCTGGCTGTCCGTTGGGGACCACTCTCAGATCTTAGAGGCTGCTCATAGATCCATGCTGACAGATGAAAAATCACATTATCCTCTTATTTGAATTTATATATTTTGATGAATTTGTTTCTTTAGTGTTTTAACTGTTTTTGCCTACCTTACTATTGAAGTATTCATCATTTTGTTTTGCTATGGGAGATTGTATTTACAGATACTACCTTGCATCATGCACTGGCAGCATTTTTCTCTTTATAATTTGCCTTTTAACTCTTCCACGATATATTTTTGCTCTACAGAAGATTGAGAATTTTAAGTAGTTAATTCTGCTTAAACTGTTACCCTCTAGTTTCTGTTTTAGATGTCAGATATATAAAGCCACCCAACTACTGCCCACAGATTGTATTTCACTTATACTATACCTCCTAGTATGTTTCTGCCTTCTATGTTTACATTAAACTTTTTTGTTGTTTTTTTATTGTAAATTATGTGATAGTTTACATGGAAGAACATTAGTTTTACTTTCATCCTATCGTATATCGTTTCATTGCCATGGTTAAAATCTCCTGCATGCATCATCAACCAACAAAGGGGTGAACACTACAAGCCTGCCCGCCCCAATCATCAGCACACAGCTCCTCTCCCTCTCTGTGTCTAAAGTCCCCAGCTGCTCCATCTCTCTATGTCATCGTCTCTGGCTCCATCTCAGGCATCACTGCTTCTCTGGGTAGGGTCCTGCTCTCCGCTCTTCTCCCTTGATGGTCCCAGGGACCTCCGCTTCTAGACTGGAAAGTTAATCACTCCCCTCCTTGCTATAAAACGTCTACCTTTACATTTCCAATCCTCACAAGCAGTCCTGATAACAATTATTCACTATCGTATTACAAGAGACCTATCCACATTTCATTTCATTAGCCCTGCCTAGACAGATTGGATACTGTTCACTGGAGATTCTACCTTCCTCCATGCCCTCTGGATCTAGGTTCCCTCATGAAAGCTTGTAAGCCATTCACTTTTTGCCTTTGTAGCTCCCCCCCCCCCCCACCTTGGGTAGCCAATGTCCAAGTTGCCCGTCCCTCTGTGTATGGAGGGTCTGGGAATGATCCTCGGTGTAAAGATTTGTTCCCTCTTTTGAGCTACTGCATCCATAGGTGTAGGTCAAATTCATCAAATTGTATCAGATTACTCTTTTTTTCCTCTTCTTTCTTCTTCTAGTTACATTAAACTTTAAGCCTCTATGATACATGCTGTCAAGTCCGTAGTGTCTCAGCACATCTGTGTACAACAGAAAGGAACACTGACTGGTCCTGGGTCATCCTCAGTCATTGCTATGTTTGAGCCTATTGCTTGCTTCTTACTTTAATTCTTAAGAATGAAAGATCCCCAAAATATTTACTTTATCAGAGTATTTTTATTATCAATTAGTAGTCTCTTCTTTATGTCAGCTCACAATTTACCAGGAATCAAGGCAAGTTAAGGGATTCACCTATTGGAATGCTAAATAATTCAGAATGGTTTGCGGATAACAGAAGTTTGATCTTTGTGCTTTCATGGTGGGGAAAATATTAATAAATATTGGAAATTCAGGTAAATTCAAATATTACAACTTTGAAAAAGATAGCCAGAATGCTTCCTAGTTAGTAACGTTTTAGAAATTGTTTTGGAGTTACTGATTTTAAAATAGATAAACTGACAGAACTTTAAGTAAAATCTTACTAGCTCCATCATTTGCTGTTGTTAAGTGCCGTCGAGTTGGTTCCGACTCATGGTGACCTCATATAGGGTTTCTGAGGAGTGGCTAGTAAGCTTAAACCACCGACCTTGTGGTTCAAACCAATTTTGCAGTCCAGCACATTAACCCATACCCAAACTGCTGTAGTTAATTACAGTTTCTAAATGACACTGGTGATTGGAGCAGTTTTTAGAAGGGTCTATCAATCCATGGAGAAAGCATTATACATGGCCTCCCCTGACTGCTAGAGGGCTACAACCACAGAGCTGGTGACGGCTCGATTTCACCAGGATGCTCTCCAGAAGTATAAGGTATGGCATGCTGTTGTAGGTCAAGTGTGAAGGGTGTGGTCTACTTCTTGAATTGTAGCAGAACTAAAATCATAAAGGATTCCCCCCCCC